CAAAAAAAAACCCCACCAACATCCCCATAAAGTCACGGAACCTTCACGGTTGAAGGGACCTTGGAGATCATGGAGTCCAACCACAAAAAAATCCCAAAAAACCTCGCAAAACCCAAGAAACCCCCAAAAAAACCCCCCATAAACCCCAAAAATTGAATCCGTCCGGCATCCTCTGCAGCGAGAATCAATGGGATCAACACCCCCCTCCCCAAAAATCAATGTCCCCACAGAGTCACAGAACCTTTATGGTTGGAAGGGACCTTGGAGATTGTAGAGTCCAACCACAAAAAAATCCCAAAAAACCCAAAAGAACCCCCAAAAAACCCCAAAATCGAATCCATCTGGCATCCTCTGCAGAGAGAGACAATAGGATCAAGCCCTCCCCCCAAAAAAAAACCCACCAACGTCCCCATAAAGTCACGGAACCTTCATGGTTGGAAGGGACCTTGGAGATCGTGGAGTCCAACCACAAAAAAATCCAAAAAAAACTCACAAAATCCCAGAAACCCCCCAAAAAACCCCAAAAATCAAATCCATCTGGTGTCCTCTGCAGAGAGAGACAACGGGATCAACCTCCCCCACAAAAAAAACCCCACCAACGTCCCCATAAAGTCACAGAACCTTCATGGTTGGAAGGGACCTTGGAGATCGTGGAGTCCAACCACAAAAAAAATCCAAAAAAACCTCACAAAACCCAAGAAACTAAAAAAAAAACCCTCAAAACCCCCCCAAAAACAAAAAAAACTCCCCAAAAAACCCCACCACCCCCACCCCCAAAGAGCTCCAACCCAACAATCTTGGCCACTAGAGCCCTCAAGTGCCACCTCTCCATGTATCTGAGATACCTCCAGGGGTGGTGACTCCACCACCTCCTTTTCCCTTGGTCCTGTTGTTATTCCCTCAGGAGAAGAGGCCAACCCCCACCTCTCCACACCCTCCTCTCAGGGAGCTGGAGAGGACAAGGAGGTCCCCCCTCATCCTCCTCTTCTCCAAACTCAAAGGCTTTGTCAAAGTTAGGTTGATGGTTGGACTAGAGGATCTTTAAGATCCCTCCAACCTGGATGATTCTATGATTCCATGATTCTCTCCTCATGTGACTTGTTCTCCAGACCCCTCCCCAGCTTGGTGGTTCTCCTCTGAAGCACCTCAATGTCCTTCTTGGAGTGAGGGGCCCAAAACTGGACACAGCACTTGAGGTGAGGCACCATCATAGAATGGTCTGGGTTGGAAGGGACCTTGAAGATCATCTAGTCCAACCGTCATTTCCCAACTCCTGCTGGCCACGCTGTTCCTGATCTAAGCCAGGATGCTGGTGGCCTTCTTGGCCACCTGGGCACACTGCTATGTTCAGCTGATAGTCCACCAACACCTCCAGGTCCTTTCCCACCAGGCAGCTCCAGCCACTCTGCCCCCCAAGCCTGGAGCATCCATGGGGTTGGTCAAAGGCTTTGTCAAAGTTAGGTTGATGGTTGGACTAGAGGATCTTTAAGATCCCTCCAACCTGGATGATTCTATGATTCCATGATTCTCTCCTCATGTGACTTGTTCTCCAGACCCCTCCCCAGCTTGGTGGTTCTCCTCTGAAGCACCTCAATGTCCTTCTTGGAGTGAGGGGCCCAAAACTGGACACAGCACTTGAGGTGAGGCACCATCATAGAATGGTCTGGGTTGGAAGGGACCTTGAAGATCATCTAGTCCAACCGTCATTTCCCAACTCCTGCTGGCCACGCTGTTCCTGATCTAAGCCAGGATGCTGGTGGCCTTCTTGGCCACCTGGGCACACTGCTATGTTCAGCTGATAGTCCACCAACACCTCCAGGTCCTTTCCCACCAGGCAGCTCCAGCCACTCTGCCCCCCAAGCCTGGAGCATCCATGGGGTTGGTGTGACCCAAGTGCAGGACCCAGTCCTTGGCCTTATAGAATCATCTCAGTTGGAAGGGACCTTCAAGACCATCTAGTCCAACCATAAACCAAACTCTGACAAAAAATCCCATCACTAAACCATGGCCCCCAGCCCCATGTCAACCAACACCTTGTAGAACCTCATCCCATTGGCCTTGGCCCATCCATCCAACCTGTCCGGGGCCTTCTGTAGAGCCTTCCAATCCTCCAGCAGATCAACACTCCCACCCAGTTTGGTGTCATCTGTCAACTCACTGAGGGTGCCCTCAACCCCCTCATCCAGATCATCGATAAAGATATTAAACAAGACTGGCCCCAAAACTGGGCCTTGAGGGACACCACTGGTCACCAGGACAGGTTGGGGGTGACCTGCTGGAGAGCAGCTCTGAGTCCTGGTGGACAACAGGATGCCCAAGAGCCAGCAATGGGCCCTGGTGGCCAAGAAGGCCCACTTGGAAACTCTGACAAAAAATCCCATCACTAAACCATGGCCCCCAGCCCCATGTCAACCAACGTCTTGTAGAACCTCAACTCGTTGGCCTTGGCCCATCCATCCAACCTGTCCGGGGCCTTCTGTAGAGCCTTCCAATCCTCCAGCAGATCAACACTCCCACCCAGTTTGGTGTCATCTGTCAACTCACTGCCCTCAACCCCCTCATCCAGATCATCAATAAAGATATTAAACAAGACTGGCCCCAAAACTGGGCCTTGAGGGACATCACTGGTCACCAGGACAGGTTGGGGGTGACCTGCTGGAGAGCAGCTCTGAGTCCTGGTGGACAACAGGATGCCCATGAGCCAGCAATGGGCCCTGGTGGCCAAGAAGGCCAACTGGGGGGCATCAGGAAGAGTGTGAGCAGCAGGTGGAGGGAGGTCATCCTCCCCCTCTGCTCTGCTCCAGCTGGAGAACTGGGACCACTTGTGGGCTCCCCAGTTCCAGAAGGACAGGGAGCTGCTGGAGAGGGGACAGCAAAGGGCTATGAGGATGATGAGGGACCTGGAGCATCTCTCTGATGAGGAGAAGCTGAGGGACTTGGGGCTTTTGGGGCTGGAGAAGAGAAGGCTGAGGGGGGATCTCATCAAGGGTGGGTGTCAGGAGGATGGGGCAGGTCTTTTTTCAGTGGTGCCCAGGGACAGGACAAGAAGAAATGGGCACAAACTTGACCATAAGAAGTTCCACCTCAACATGAGGAGGAACTTCTTGACCTTGAGGGTGGCAGAGCCCTGGCAGAGGCTGCCCAGAGAGGTGGTGGAGTCTCCTTCTCTGGAGACATTCAAACCCCACCTGGACACGTTCCTGTGGGACCTGCTCTGGCAGGAGGTTGGAGGAGATGAGCTCCAAGAGCTCCCTTCCCACCCCGTGTCATTCTGCGATTCCGTGACCAGCCACCAACAGGATTTCACCCCAGGGGGGTGGGGGGAACCCGGGCCCTTCCTTACCTTGGAGGCCAGGGATTTAATTTTGCCAAAAAGGGAGTTTTTGCTGGCAAAAACCAGGTCGTCCTCGGCGTCCTCCCCCTCCATGATGGCGCAGCTGTCGGGGGCCGGCAGCTCGTTCTCCTTGGCCGCCGCGTTCATCACCAGCTTGGAATATTTATACTCCAACCTTTTGGGGGGGGGACATGGGGGGGGACACAAAAAAAAGATGCCATTGACCCCCCCCCCCTCCAGGACTCCATGTCACCTTCTAAAGTCCTGGTGTCACCCACCCCCCGCATCCCACCCCCCCCCAAAAAAAAGGCTCACTTTTGGTTCTTCTTCCAGAAGTAGGTGGCCAGGGCAGCCAGCAGGAGGGCGGTGCAGGTTCCGGCCGAAATTCCCACTTTTAGCCAAAAATCCAAACTCCGGCATCTCCGAACCT